AAAAAAATAATCAACATTGTTAATTTTACAATATTTGAATTATTAAATTATATAAAAGACAAATATAAAAATTAAATAAATAATTACTTTTACCTTTTTTTAAAATTTAGACTATTCATATTATTTAAATAAATTTAAACAAATAAATTAAAGATAATTTCATAAAAAAAAAAAAGGTACAACACAAAATTGTTAATTTTAGAATATTTGAATTATTAAATTATATAAAAGACAAATATAAAAATTAAATAAATAATTACTTTACCTTTTTTTAAAATTTAGACTATTCATATTATTTAAATAAATTTAAAAAAATAAATTAAAGATAATTTCATAAAAAAAATAGAATCAACATTGTTAATTTTAGAATATTTGAATTATTAAATTATATAAAAGACAAATATAAAAATTAAATAAATAATTACTTTACCTTTTTTTAAAATTTAGACTATTCATATTATTTAAATAAATTTAAAAAAATAAATTAAAGATAATTTCATAAAAAAATAGAATCAACATTGTTAAATTTACAATATTTGAATTATTAAATTATATAAAAGACAAATATAAAAATTAAATAAATAATTACTTTACCTTTTTTTAAAATTTAGACTATTCATATTATTTAAATAAATTTAAAAAAATAAATTAAAGATAATTTCATAAAAAAAAATAGAATCAACATTGTTAATTTTACAATATTTGAATTATTAAATTATATAAAAGACAAATATAAAAATTAAATAAATTCGAAATAAAAAATTAAAGATAATTTCATAAAAAAATTTTGAAAAAATAAATTAAAGATAATTTCATAAAAAAAAATAATCAACATTGTTAATTTTACAATATTTCAATTATTTTATTATATTGACAATGATAAAAAAAATTAAATAAATAAATAATATAATTACTATTTAATCAAATAAAAAATTTAATTAATTACAAAAATTATAAAAAAAATTAAAAATTTAAATATTTAATCTGGGCCAGTGAACCGGCCCATACTGTTAACAGTCGGTTGGTGCGACTGCTCGCCCGGTGGCCGGGAAACTACCGGAAACCTCCATTCCTGGCCACTGAGCTCCAAAAAATAGCAAAAAATCACATTTTTCACACTCCACCATGCCCACAATCTAACTACTCATGCCATGGATCTAATTTCAACCAAAATTACTAAGGATGCTATATTATGAAAAAAAGCATTCGAACTGGAGAAAAGATCAGAAAACTAACCGGTTCTTTTATTTCCACTGTAGATGATGGTCGTTGATTGCAACGTTGGTGTAACTCCGGTGGTCGGTCGGTCGGATTTCTGCACTGGTCGGTCGGTCGATGAGAGATAATTCAAACAGTCTGAAGAGTAAAATGGGTTTTTATTGTGAAGTTTTTTTTAACTTAATTTATTTTTTTAATTCATTGAATGGGTCAAAGTCAATGTCAATTTTTGCTACAGTGGAAGAGTCATTTTTGTGTATTTGCTCGTTGGACAGTAAACTCCCTATTTGATGCAGGCAAAATCAGTGGCACTCTATTTCTAATTTGTGTCAATCTTGCCACCTGAATACGCTCCAACTTCAAATACCCGCTCATCAAATCATCGTTTCCGTCGATCAGAACCCTCAATTTCAATGGGAGAATCGCATCGATGCTCTGTACATCTTGCCCTCGGCGGTGGCGCAGGTATAAATCTATATCTACAATTATAACATGCTCGAGTATTAGCAATTTTGGACAATATTTTGGAGTGTACAACACCCAATTCCAAACCAGTACAGATCCATGATTTAAGATGGATTTGATTAATTCTTTCTATATTTTTTTCTTCGTTGATGCAGTTGCCGATGTGTTGTTGTGGAAAAATTGGTTTGGGAGCGCTGCTCTGCTTATCGGTTCTACCGCCCTTTGGTTATTATTTGAAAGAGCCGGCTATAATCTCTTATCATTTATTTCAAATGTCTTATTATTGCTTGTAGTGATCTTGTTCTTCTGGGCCAAATCTGCATTACTTCTCAATAGGTAATATTAATATGGATGGATTTTACTTATATCAGTATGTGGGATTTACTGCCTTTTAAATTCATTCTGATTTGTTACTGTACTATCCTTAGCTGAAGTTATATTTGGCCAGAAATTATTTCGTTGTTAGGACTGAAGGAAACTGTTTGATGGGTTATTTCATTATTAGGATTGACGTTTGTTTCATGTGGCTGCCCTCCTGTTTTTCAGATATTGGCCGTTTCTATATGCAAATGATGTAATCTGTATTTATTTACTGGAATCTTAAAGTTCTGTGACTAGATATTCATTTCTGTGATTTTAGACCTCTGCCTCCTGTTCCTAATCTTGACATTTCTGAGGAATCTGTTGTGAAAGGCGCTGATGAGATGCGAGTTTATGTAAATCGAGCATTATCCATTGCGCATGACATTGCCATTGGTGGAAACTTGGGACTCTTTGTTCAGGTTGTTTACACGTTTTAATTTGTCATTTTCTTCGAGTAGATAAAGTTTATTGACCCTGATTGTGTATATGAATAACTGAGGTTATTTTCCACGCAATGTGGATTTTTCTAGATAGGTTTTTTTGGGCTTGTGGGTGATATCCTATATTGGAAGTTTCTTCAACTTCCTTACCCTGGCATATACTGGTCAGTATTTGCTTGATCTCCTCTAGGTCTGTTTTTTCCTCATATTTTTTAGTTGTAATGTGTGTTTTTGTTGTTGTTATTGCAGGGGTTCTTCTCAGTTTATCACTACCTGTGTTGTACGCCAAATACCAAAAGCAAATCGATGAAAAGCTGATTATAGCACATAAGATTATTCAGACACAGTACCGGAAAATTGATGAACAAATATTGAGAAAGATTCCGATGCCTTCAAAAAATGATAAGAAGACCCAATAGATTCGGTGTAATCTCCTACCCCTAGCCCTATTTCTCTCTTCTCCCTTTTGACCATAGTTCTTTTGAGTATTGTTTGTCACTAGTTTATTATCTGGACAAAGTCCTTAAGTGCTCTTGTGCATGCATTCATGCATCATTTTTCTTGGCTAATTGTGAACAAGCATTATCATGATAGACAAGTATTTGCTTGATCTCCTCTAGGTCTGTTTTTTCCTCATATTTTTTAGTTGTAATGTGTGTTTTTGTTGTTGTTATTGCAGGGGTTCTTCTCAGTTTATCACTACCTGTGTTGTACGCCAAATACCAAAAGCAAATCGATGAAAAGCTGATTATAGCACATAAGATTATTCAGACACAGTACCGGAAAATTGATGAACAAATATTGAGAAAGATTCCGATGCCTTCAAAAAATGATAAGAAGACCCAATAGATTCGGTGTAATCTCCTACCCCTAGCCCTATTTCTCTCTTCTCCCTTTTGACCATAGTTCTTTTGAGTATTGTTTGTCACTAGTTTATTATCTGGACAAAGTCCTTAAGTGCTCTTGTGCATGCATTCATGCATCATTTTTCTTGGCTAATTGTGAACAAGCATTATCATGATAGACATGCTTGTTATGATTTAATTTCACAAAACTTGTGGACAATTGCCGAATATTTGGTCTCACTTGGCATTTCAAGACATTGAAGGAAGAAGTCTTGCTGCTGAACTTTATGGTATGGTGGGTTGATCTGTGTTGCTACGACTTTTTTATCAAAGCAGGCAATGCATTTTTTATCAACCGTTGATATATAATATTTCTATACTCTTTTGGGGTTAAACATAATTCTCTGGGTGCAAAAATGTGTATCTTCAATAGGATATTATTGTTCTTTCTTTGTTTCTTCAATCATTTAGATCTAAAAATGTTATAACCATTAAAAGGCTGTTTGGGGCTCATTATTGGTCCAAAAAAATGAAAAATCTTACCGTTGGATCACACAAATCCAAGGCATTGTGAGAGAGAAGTCAACAGGTGAGGCCCTTCAACGTAAAAATTCTTCTAATAATGCAGAAATAATGTGCATCAAACAATCTCTAATATTTGGTGCATATTGAAACAGTTGCTGTTTTAAGGACCAAGACTTGTAATATAGGACAAAGGGTCCAAGAATGGCTATGTGGCACTGCTAAAATTTTTAAAATGTTTTGCTCTTCACGTCATCTTTCATTTGCTTTTGACTTCCCTTGTGGTGAAACTTTTGGTGATCCTATTGCTAGCAAATTATTTTGAGAATCCCAATGAATAACCAGTATTTTCTTTATAGCCTTTTCATAAACTAAGAAGCACGGATACTTGTAAACTTATTGTGAACATATATCCAATACGTATCCAAGCTTGGATGTGCTTGGACACTCTCCAATACGTATTGCATATGTATTTTTTAATTATTTTACATTTTTTTATATTTTTTAAATTATCAAATACAAATGGGACAACTTAGGATACGTGAAGAAAAAGACTTTTATCAATTTTAAACTTTTTATAATATCATCGACAATAGATGTCAATTTTACTCTCTGTACAATTACACTTCAAGTAGGGTACCGTGTTCATATCCAATACGTGTTGATATGACACTCTATTGTAAACTTTTTTCAATAAAAATATATATTTTTAACCTAAAGTTAATTATTAAATAATAAATAGGTACTCATATCATATTTAAAAGATTTCAACAAGAAAAATTAATAATAAGTATAAAACTAAATTTATACTATAGAAATGAAGAATTTTAAAAAATTTAATGAACTTGTTGATGTGTCTTGTTAACACTTGTTTTAAAAACGCATGTCGACATGTTTGATACGTATCGTATCGGTGCATCGTAGACTTTACTTAATAGATAATTATTATTATTGTCGATAAATTATTGAAAATTATTAATATTTATTATATTAACAAGAAGCATCTAATCTTTTGTGCACTCTATGAGAAGGAATAAAATAGCTCCACAATGAGCAAAAAATTGGTTTTCATTGAACCAATCTACAGCTTTTATCAAGAAAATTAAATCTTTATTCAAAAAGAAAATCTAAAATATGGGACATAGACAGTCTGAAGTTGCTAATTTATTATTAGATGAGTTAGAGTTAGAGTGTGTAATTTTTAATTATAATGAAGAAGCTGATGGTGGTGATGTTGATGTTGAAAAAAATGAAGTTAAGACAATTAAGGATTAAGATAAAATTCTTTAGTATTTTATTTTATTTTATTTATGCCAAATTTTATATTTAACTTGTGAAAAAAAAAAAATACATGTACATATCCGCATGTCCTAAGTTTTGTTAAAAAGTTGTGTTGTCATACCCGTGTCATAACGTATTCGAATTACGTATTTGAATCCGTGCTTCTTAGTTCATAAATTCCTAATACACTTTGTGGGTGTGTTAAGTGCACCGTAGAATAATGAAATGTAGGGACATGGGAGGGTGGATTAGAATCACTTGAACATACTGACAATCATCATAATTCTCATCAACCATTCTTTTTATTAGTTGCAAAAAGAAAAGAAACAAAAACACGAAATGAACTGGTAAATTTACTATTTTGCTGAGTAAGAAAAGTAAGTTATCCATATGTAAAATAACCATTGTTTATTAAGCTTCCTATTAGAAAAAGTAACTTTTTACTTGAAAAAAATAAATAACTGACTAAGTAAGTTTTAAATAAATATATTTTTGTATAATCAAAGTTAAAAATGAATAAGTTACTTATTTTGACACTTAACGAAATAGTTACTTTTAAAAGAATAAATTTTTATATTTAAAAGAAAAAGTAAGTTATTCAAATATATGTTCGTAGATAAGAACTAAATTTATTTATGAGTAAATAAGTGAGTTTTAAAATAATTAACTTATTTTGTTAATCAAAGTGAAAAATAAGTTACTTATTTTGACTCTAATATAAGAATTATTTAAAAAAAAAAAAAAAGAAGAAGAAGTAATTGTTCACATATATTTGTTGAAAAAGAAGTTACTTGAAAGTATGTTTAATCTTTTTTTAGCTTAGACAAATTGTCATAAATCATTTATTTCTCAATACCTATATGTTGTACTTATACGGTATAGCACTAAAAGCCATATTATAATAATACACCGTAATCCACCTAAATATTATCTCCTGTAATCTTCACTCCCAATTATATTCATCCAATCCAATACAGTGTCCCAAGCGCTCCCTTCGTGTTTTACAATCAGTTTTGTTGTAGAATCTATGCTCCAGCTATGGGCAAGGTTAAAGAGTCTCTTCATCAAACAAACTGCAATTTGTTTTCTGAATAAAAAGCTTATAGCAAATTAAGTATACAAAATCCGTCACAATATTTTTACGAGTTACTCAATATGATATGATCAATTAAGAAAATTAAACCTAGCACATGTATTTAAGTTTTATGGTCAGTGGGGTAATAATATGCTCAACTCTTACATAATATGTACACCACATACTGAAACATAAAATAAAGAAATAATTAAATTTTGTCGCTTTGAACATTTTAAGGGTTCTTTTCTAGACTATATTATCTTGCTCTTGATAATTAATTATAATGCTCTGTGTTCCATTGTTTGTTTAAAACAGTTTAATTCTCTATTAGTTTTTGTTCTTGATGTTTTTCAAGTATTAATTGAAAGCTTAAAATGTGCTGAGCTTACCAGGTATCTTTGTAGTGGCATATAGATTTTATATTGAATATATGATATGCGTGTGCTCGTTGCATTGGTATGGCGCGCATGGCATTTGAAGTTTTAGTCTCTTAGGAATTAATGCAAAGTGAAGCATTCCCTTCATCAAACAAACTGATTTTTGTTTTCAAAATAAAAATCTATAGCTCTACAGCAAATTAAGTGTACATAATCCATGACAATATTTTTATGAGTTTTTCAATATGATAATCAATTGAGAACATTAAACCTAGAATAATATATTGTAGGACATATATTTAAGCTTGATGGTTAGTGTGGTAATCATATGCCCAACTCTCACATTTTATTTACACCACATACTGAAATATAATTAATTGATAATCTTGTGAATATAATTGTGATACTCTGCTTTCCATTGTTCGTTTAAAACTGTTGTTAACACAGAATATGATTTTGGCTATTTTTCTACCCTGTTTTGCTTTGAAGCCCCCGAAAGCGTTAGATGCACTCTCTTTATGCTTTGCTCCTCAAACATGGGGAAAGTTCAAATGTTGTGCTTCTTTGCACTGTAATTCAGGTGCACTATTTTAATAATTAAGCCTTACATTTTGATGGGGTATATCCACATTTTGGCTATTTGGCTAGAGGCTTTGGTGCTCTGCTTCTCTTTGTACACTTACAAACTAGAAGTTGTTCAAAGTTGGATAGCTAAAGCCTTAATAGTAGTTCTGCCAACAATATAAATGTGTCACAGTTTTCATCTCATTCCATCTCTCTCTCCGGTGTCTGTTTATGCGTGCTGTAGGCATTCCATCGTTTATAAGTGGTTTTGCAGGTTTGACATGTAACGTGTCAATTGCTTGGAGTTACTAATATATTCCTTTTAAATACAATGCCAATAAAAATTCAGGCCCCGTTTGGTATCCATTTTTTTCAAAATGCATTTTTCTCACTCTTCTTTTCAACCACATATTCTTTATTAAAATAATATTATACGTAAATCAAAAAATTTTCCTTATTTTTCAACCACACATTTTCCATCAATTTACTATTCAAAAATGCATTTTTACATAAAAATGTCTTCCAAACACCCTCTCAGTAAGATTGTTGTTAAAAATCGTTTTGAAATTTTTGCGCAGAATATTGATGAGCAACTTTTAATTAATTTGAATCCTTGAATAGTTTTATGCTTTGTCAAACATCAGTTGCTGATCTACATTATGTGAAATATTGTAATCTTGGAAAATACAGGCCTTGAAACGCAATTTAATATTTATAACACAAATGAGTCAATTGGTTCTTTGGATAGTTATTTCTTGAAAAGCTACTTTTGGTACTTATACCTAAGTAACGTAGCAAATGCATTTTTCCTGGGTGTACAAAGGAGTGAGAAACAGAAGGTTGGAAGGTGAACAGACTTGGTCTATAGCTGTGTATGGGGTACAATCTCTTATCATTCACAGGGATCTAATTGCTCATTTTCCTTTTGGAGAAAAGGAACTTAATGGTGTTCTTCATTGAAATTTTCCCTCGTTTTGAACCTGTTTTTCCCTAGAGATTATACCCTTCATTGATTTGCCTTTTAGATGGATAGTAAAGACTGGTTCGTTCAATTGTATACAATGCGACATCAAAAATTTGGAGTGGACACTTATGAAAACTGGGTCATATTTCTATGACATGGATAAAATTGGAGTCTTTCTGTTGTGACCTGTAAATTTATTGATCATCTCATGGTGTTTCCACTTTTTCATTTGATGGGTTCAGAATTTGATGTCCCCTGTTAAAAGTCATGAAGATACATGCACTACTTTGATATGTTTGAATTTTTATAATATGGGGAATATTTTTGCAGGTATCTTATTTTTGCTAGTTGCTGGATATCTACATAGCTTACCATTAGTTCTGGGAACAAACAGAGGATGATTGCCTTCTCGTCTATGGTTTACGGAAGAGGCTAGTCAAACATTATTTTTCATGCTTGAAACTCATTGGTCATAGTTTTCTTAATTTCTAACCCCGTCGACCCTTCACAGTTTCCACGCTTCATTGACTTGGAATAGGGTAAACAGGTTTAGTTGTGATTTTGGTCGAAAGTCAATTGAGGATCTGCAGTTTGCTTTTTATGAAGTTTCTTTGTGTGAATGCCAGAAGTCTGAATAGGATGGTTATGACGTATTTTGTGCTTTAGAGGAACCCCATATTGAAATCGAAACAGGATCCACCTTGCAACTTTGGGTGATTTATTGAGTTTGAAACTTGTAAAATTCGCTTTTGTAATTTCTACCAGTTTGATGAATCACGTATGGTTGCTCCGGAATCAACAAATTCAGTCTTACAAAAGTTGTAGTTGCCAAAAAACGAAATGCATTATAGTACATTAGTAATGAACCACGGACTGAGGGAAATAGATTTTATTTTTGAATGCTCTCAGTGAAGCCAGTTATTCAATTACTTGACAAATTGGAAGTGAGAAAAATTCAACAGTGCAAATACTTGTGCTTATTGGTACGTTAAGTTGATGCAATATGTATACTTTAACTTAGGAGTGGTAAATGGGCGCTAAGTCGCTGCTGGCTCATGGGCTTAGCTTGTTCGGATTTGGTCCATAGACTGCTCGAGCTTATATAGGGATGAGCTTAAGGGAGACGGGCACTTAAAAATTGGGGAAAATTACCTTAAAGCCTGTTATTTAACATTACATTTCAAAAATGAACATCGAAGTTTAGTTATTTCAAAAGTCAGGTGTTACAGCAAATCTTATACTCAACATTGCCCCATTCCTAGCCACTCCCACTTGCACCCAAACACGAATAAACTAAACCTTCGTGCACTGACCCTCTCAACGAAGCCCTAAATCATCACCACGTGGTGGCATTCCAGCTCTCAACACAGAGGAGAGCAAATATCCATTATTTCGAGCATGGAGATGAACTCGTGGGACTTCAGGGTTTGCCAAAATCATGGTGAAATTTGCGGGGGAGATAAGCTAATGGCTCTCAAGATGACGTCTTTTGATCTATTTCCTTGCTTTATTGATCCCTGAGAACCATGGGAATAAATTTTCTTCTATCTTTTAATCGAGATTTTCTTCTTGTGATGCCTCTCAGAAATTGTATCCAGCTTAGGTTTACATTGTATTTTCCCAGCTAGTTGCTGGTAGTCTTTCTGCTACTGAGGTGTATATCTAACGCCGGCAATTACTGGCGACATTTTTGGCTAAAAGAGCATAACTATATTGGCACTAAAGAAAGAAAGTAAATGAAGAGGCTGGATGAAATAAGTACTTAGGAAAAAGCAAATAGTTTTGTCTTATCTTTCTCTGAAAGTGTTCGATTTTATGCGCAATGATAAAGAGATAGAAATAGAAAAATCAACACAAGAATTTACTTGGTTCGGCTGTGTGCCTATCTCCATGAGATCGAAGCGGAGATAATTTTATTCAGTTGTGAAAAATAGGGTTACAACATATTATTTATATTAACCTTAACCATATAAGACTTTTAAGGCCTGTTCGATGCACTACGCACCCCTAACTCCACTTTGCTTCGCTCTGACGTCGGCCTATTTAATTCCCGAAACTTGTGTTCTACTCTATATGAGCCACATAAACAACAATTTTTACCTGGGCAAATATTCACCCTTTAGGAGAAAAACATAACCTGGAAAACCACACCATCTAGGACTAATAGGTTGGGACACGTTCTCTGTAACACCTAGAGATGTTAATCAAGTTCGAGCAACGCTTGAATCTATCCATTGTGATTGGCTTTGTTATCATGTCTGCTGTATTCTCTGAGATATCCACCTTCTCTAACAACAACTCTCTTAAAGTAACCAACTCTCGTATCTTGTGAAATCTCACATCAATGTGCTTGGTTCTTGCATGATAAATCTGATTTTTCGTTAAGAAGATGACGCTCTGACTGATTCATTCCATCTTGCTTGATTCCAAGTTCCCTGACAAGCCCTCTCAACCACAATAAGTCATTGGCTGCCTCAGTTGCCGTCATGTACTTTGCTTCAGTTGTAGATAATGCCACAAGTGATTGAACCATTGATCTCCAACATATAGACCCACCTACCAATGTGAAAACATAACCTATATGAGACATTCTGTTATCCAAGTAGCCTGCATAATTTGCATCTATGTACCCCTGAACTGAAATATCATCATGTTGTCTTTTAAACATGATCACACACTACATTGTACCTTTCAAGTACCTGAAAATCAACTTTACAGCTCTCCAATGCTCTCTACCGGGATTAGCCATATACTTGCTAACCACATTGACTGCATGTGCTAGATCTGGTCTGGTATACACAATTGCATACATCAAACATCCAACTGCGCTAGCATAAGGAGCATTTGACATCTCTGCAATTTATTCTTCATTCTTGGGCACTGATTATTAGACAAACAAATTGAAGTGAATTGCCAATAGTGTAGCAACTGGTTTTGCATCGGACATACTAAACCTCTTCAACACTTTCTTCAAATAAATTTTCAGAGACACCCATAATTTTCTGGCCTTCCTATCTCTGTTGATCTCCATGCCAAGAGTTTTCTTAGCCGATCCCAAGTCTTTCATATCAAACTTATTGCTTAGCAAAAATTTCAATTTGTCTGCTTCATTCATGTTCTTAGCAGTAATTAGCATGTCATTCACATATAACATCAAGAAAATATATGAATGATCCTCAAGAACTTTATAGTAAACACAACAATCATACTCACAACGACTGTAGCCAATTTGATCATATGAGAGTCGAACTTCTTGTACCATTGTCGAGGAGACTGATTAAGCTCGTATAAAGACTTATTCAGTTTATACACAATATTCTTTGTTCCTGGTTACAAGAATCCCTCTGGCTGCTCCATGAAAATTAGCTCCTCCAAATCACCATGAAGGAAAGCAGTCTTCATATCCAACTGCTCTAACCCTAAATCAAAACTAGCCACCATTACTAAAGCAATCCTGATGGAAGTGTGTCTAACGACCAGAGAGAAAATTTCTTCATAATCTACTTCCTTCATTTGTGAGTATCCCTTTGCTATTAATCGAGCCTCATATCTTTTTCCTTCCTTTTTTGACATTGCTTCTTTCTGTACACCAACTTACGCCCTATCGATTTCTTTCCCTCTAGAAGCTCCACCAAATTCCAAATATCATTTTTATACAGTGACTCAATTTTCTCCATCATAGCCTTTATCTATTTACCTTTCTCCTGACTACCAATGGCATCCTGAAACATCCTAAAAAGTTATAAGATCGCTATTGCTGGTAATGAGTGCATAAAAAATCGAATCCTCGTATCTATGCTTCATTGGTGGCTTGATAATGCGACGTGGTCTATCTAAGACAACACTATGATACTGCTCCACCTCTAACCCAGAACTATTCGCTCTATGAGTTTTAATCTCCATGCCAACATTGTCTAGTTCTACCTGTACCACTTAGTTGTTGTTGTTGCCCTTATCTGAATCGACCTTCTCTTTATCTGAAGAAGATTTAAGCATAAATGCTTCATCAAAGACTGCATCCCTACTTATCACCATCTTTCTTGCCTCTGGATCCCAAAACTTGTAACCTTTTACACCTTTCACATGGCCTAGAAAAATACATTTTCTTGATTTCGGATCAAGTTTGGATCTCTGATCACTAGATATATGCACATAAGCCGAACACCCAAATACTCTCAATTTAGAATAATCAATTTCATTACATGTCAAAACTTCCTCTGCAAATTTCCCAACTAGTGCTGCTCGTGGTGATCTGTTTATGACATAACATGTCATGCTCACTGCTTCTGCCCAAAAACTCTTTGAAAGCCCTATATTCAGCCTCAAGCATCTTGCACGTTCTGCAATTGTTCTGTTCATCCTTTCCCTACACCATTTTGTTGCGGTGTCCTGCGAATTGTATAGTGCCGTTGAATACCATGCTTCTCACAAAATCTCAAAATTTCACAAAATTTTTATGTCTGTCCCCACACTCTGATTTATAAGAATAACCATTTGTGTCTAAAGTGCCTAAAGAAATTAGATTCTTTCTCAACTCAGGTACATGCTTAACATTTTTCAAGGTCCTTACCACGCCATCGAACATTTTAAATTTTATAGACCACATTCCAATGACCTTACATGATCCATCATTACCCATCAGAACAGATCCAAATTTACCTGGACTATATGAATCAAATCGATCCCGGTGAGGACACGTGATATTAACAGACTGAATCAAGTACCCAACAGTCATTTAATTTACCTGCAGAGAATGATAGCATATCTCCATTTTCAGAATTCGAGTCTCCTTCTTCAACACTAGCTGAGTTTGAGGACCCATCACCTTTCCTTACATTACCTTGCTTCTTATTCGGACAATTTTTTCTTAAAGTGACCCATCTGATGACATTTGTAGCATTTGACATTTTTCCTATTTTGATTCCTAGATTTTGATCTTGTGTTCCCTTTGTAAGAACCGCCCCTATCTTTCCTTCTCCCACGATCCTGGTGGCCATTTACGATCAGCCCTTCTCCCTATGAACTTTCGCTAGTACACAGTTTTCGTTGGTTGTAGGCCAACATGGCTAATGTGACTTCCTCCAATTCGAGACTCTCTTTACCCTATGTCAACGTGGTCACTAGGTGGTCGTAGAAAGAACGAAAGGAGCACAACAATATCATTGCCTTTTCTTCATGATCAAACTTGATTTCTAGTTGTAATAAATCATCTATGATTTGATTGAACACATTTGTGTGTTGAATTAGATCCGTTCCCTCCAACACCTTGTGCCTGTACAACCACTGCTTCAGATGCAGCTTATTCGTGAGAGACTTCGACATATAACGACTCTCCAATTTCTCTCAAACCTCCATCGAAGATTTAATGTCCATGACGTGATACGTGATCTCATCCACAAAAAAAGTCAAATTGTACCAACTGTTTGTGCCTCAAGCTCTTTCCAACTGGCATCTAACGGACCCTCTGGCTTCTTCCCAAATAATGCCTTCACCATCTCTTACTGAGCCAACAAATCATTCACCCTTCTCTACCATAATTCAAAATTCTCAGATCCGTCAAATTTCATCACATCGAATTCACCATCTGAACCTGGCTCTGATACTTATTATTGGATTTTATGCACAATAATAAAGAGATGAAATAGAGAACTCAACACAAGAATTTACGTGGTTCGGCTGTGTGCCTACGTCCAAGAGCACGAAGTGGAGATAATTTTATTCAGTAGTGAAAAATAGAGTTATAACATTTTATTTATACTAACCCTAGCTTAGGT